GGTGCCGGATTATGATGGGTTTTACATACCGCGGGAGGTTTGGGGAGGTGCGGATCCCACGAGTCCCTCAATTAAGGCCGAGCCAGCCATGCTGTTTGTTATCAAACACACCGCTGGGGAGACTTGCACCAATCAAAAACAGTGTAGTAAAGTGGTGAGGGAGATCCAGAAGGAGCACATGGAGGTGCTGGGGTTTGCAGACATCAGCTACAATTTTCTGGTTGGAGGTGATGGAAAAATTTATAACGGGCGTGGCTGGGGGGTCCAGAACGAGGGCAGGAATGATAGTCTGGACGTGGCCTTTATGGGGAACTTTAACGTCGACGATCCGACGACAAAAATGATGAATGCAGCCCTCCGCATTCAGATCACTGGCCAATCAGCTGGTCAGGTCAAGTATGGGAAGTACCGGGTGATGAATCATAATCAGACGGAGCCTACGGATAGTCCAGGAAAGCGGCTATTTGCTAAAACCATTTCCAATTTGAACTATTATAGTGGTGCTGTTTGTTATCATAATGCTTCGGGGCAAGTGGTCATCGACTACGACTGTCCTTGATGATCGGAAGCTGAAGCAAAAGATTCTTGGGATATTCAACATATTCCATGATTAAGTGATTTTTCCGAGAAGGCGGAATATTTAGTGCCTTTTCTGTATCAGAATTTTAGGAATTATTTCAATAAATCTTCTGGGGGTTTTTCCATACGTTCAATACTATGGAAAAGCCCATTAGCCAGCACACGTCAAGGTGCAAATGCTGCAGGGCTGACGGGTGGTTGTGGAGCCCGATTAAAGTTATCAATAAAACCCAAATAGAATAATTATATTTTGTTAATTATCAAAATATAAGAAAGAAATTTGTGCTTACTAAATATAGAGAAAGTTTCACATTTCCGCTGGTTCAGTTCGGAAGTAGCGAATTTTTAAGGAAAAAAGTGCAGTTGACTGAATACTTCACTTTTGAGACTCACATTAATGAAGCAGGAAAAAATCAGGACTTTCCGCGATTTATATGAAACTCTCAGCATGTTAAGGTCCATACGTCTGCTAGTGATGGTGAGAGTTTTATCGTCCTGTTGGGTTTAGTTTGGGAAGCGTGAATTTTTAAATAAGAGAGTGCAGTTGGCTGAACCCTCGATTTTGAAACCCACATTTAATAAGTCGGCAAAAATCAGGCTTTTGAACCATTTTTATGAAATTTGCTGCAGATTTACAGTCATACATTTTCCAACGATGAGGAGAGTCACATGTTCCTGCGTGGGACGGTTTTGAAAATGCAAATTTTTAAAGAAGCGAGCCTGATTGACTAAAAACTTCAACTTAGAGTCAGACTGTTAAAAGTGATGTGTCTTCTAGTGATGGTGAAAGTTTCATCGTCCTGTTTCGTTTAGTTTGGGATGTGGGAATTTTTAAATAAGGGAGTGCAGTTGACTGAAGACTTCGATTTTGAAACCCCCATTTAATAAGTTGGCAAAAATCAGAATTTTGAGCGATTTGTATGAAATTCGCTGCGGATTTAGAGCGATGTGTTTTCTGAAAATGAGCGGAGTTTTATGTTCCTGTATATAGCTGTTACGGAGATACAAATTTTTAAGTAAGCGAAACTGGTTGACTGAAGACTTCAATTTTAAGTCAGATTTTGAGAGTTCAAGAAAAAATGAGAACCTCTCACGATTCTTTTGAAACTTTTAGATTGTTAAGAGTGATATATCTTCGAGTGATGGTGATGGTTTCATTGTCCTGTTCCGTTTAGTTTGGAAAGTGTGGATTTTTAAATAAGAGAGAGCAGTTTGCCGAACCCTCGATTTTGAAACCCACATTTAATAAGTTGGAAAAAATCAGAATTTTGAGCGATTTGTATGAAATTTGCTGCAGATTTAGAGCGATGCGTTTTCTAAAGATGAGCAGAGTTTTATGTTCCTGTATACAGCAGTTTCGAAGATACAAATTTTTAAATAAGCGAGACTGGTTGACTAAAGACTTTAATTTAGAGTCAGATTTTGAGAGTTCAAGAAAAAATGAGAACCTCTCACGATTCTTATAAAACTTCCAGAATACTAAGAGCGATAAGTTTTCTAGTGATGGTAAAAGTTTCATTGTCCTGTTACGTTTAGTTTGGAAAGTGTGGATTTTTAAATAAGAGAGTGCAGTTGACGGAAGGCTTTGATTTTTAAACCCCATATTTACTAAGTTCGCAAAAATCAGGCTTCTGTATCATTTTTATGAAATTTTCTGCAAATTTAGAGTCATGTGTTTTCTAATGATGAGGAGAGTTTCATGTTCCTGCGTGCCGCAGTTTTGGAGATACAACTTTTTCAAGAAGCGAGCGCGGTTGACTAAAGACTTTAATTTAGAGTCAGACATTGAGAATTCAAGAAAAAATGCGAACCTCTCACGATTCTTATAAAACTTCCAGAGTGTTAAGAGCGATAAGTTTTCTAGTGATGGTAAAAGTTTCATTGTCCTGTTCTGTTTAGTTTGGAAAGTGTGGATTTTTAAATAAGAGAGTGCAGTTGACGGAAGGCTTTGATTTTTAAACCCCATATTTACTAAGTTCGCAAAAATCAGGCTTCTGTATCATTTTTTTGAAATTTTCTGCAAATTTAGAGTCATGTGTTTTCTAATGATGAGGAGAGTTTCATGTTCCTGCGTGCCGCAGTTTTGGAGATGCAACTTTTTCAAGAAGCGAGCGCGGTTGGCTAAAGACTTTAATTTAGAGTCAGACTTTGAGAGTTAAAAAAAATGAGAACCTCTCGCGATTCTTTTGAAACTTTTAGACTGTTAAGACTGATGTGTCTTCTAGTGATGGTGAAAGTTTCATGGTCCTGTTTCGTTTAGTTTGGGATGTGGGAATTTTTAAATAAGGGAGTGCAGTTGACTGAAGACTTCGATTTTGAAACCCATATTTAATAAGTTGCCAAAAATCAGAATTTTGAGCGATTTGTATGAAATTTGCTGCAGATTTATAGCGATGTGTTTTCTAAAGATGAGCAGAGTTTTATGTTCCTGTATACAGCAGTTTCGGAGATACAAATTTTTAAATAAGCGAGACTGGTTGACTGAAGACTTCAATTTTGAGTCAGATTTTGAGAGTTCAAGAAAAAATGAGAGCCTATCAGGATTCTCATGAAACTTTCAGAATGTTAAGCGGGATAAGTTTTCTAATGATGGTAAAAGTTTCATTGTCCTGTTACGTTTAGTTTGGAAAGTGTGGATTTTTAAATAAGAGAGTGCAGTTGACGGAAGGCTTCGATTTTTAAACCCCATATTTAATAAGTTCGCAAAAATCAGGCTTCTGAATCATTTTTATGAAATTTTTTGCAAATTTAGAGTCATGTGTTTGCTAATGATGAAGAGTGTTTCATGTTCCTGCGTGCCGCAGTTTTGGAGATGCAACTTTTTCAACAAGCGAGCGCGGTTGACTGAAGACTTTAATTTAGAGTCAGACTTTGAGAATTCAAAAAAAATTAAAACCTTTCACGATTCTTATCAAACTCTCAGCATATTAAGAATAATGTATCTTCTACAGATGAGAAACGTTTGATCTTCCTGCTCGGTTCAGTTCGGGGAGGGCACATTTTTAAATAAGAGAGTGAGACTGAATACTTCGATGGAAACCCACATTGAATAAGTTGGAAAAGATCAGGCGTCCATATTTCTGAAATTTTCGGCATATTTAAAGTCTTGGGTTTTCTAAAGACTAAAACCATTTTTAAAACGCGAATTTTTAGAATGAACGGAGAATGGTTGACTGAATACTTCGACTCTGAGAGTCAATTTTATTAAACTGACAAAAATCAGCTTGTCCACGATTCTGTAATTTAAAATAGGAAAAGTTTGGTCTGCCACTTGAATTTGAGACACCCGGTATCAATTGGTATTATCTTAAAATAAACTAGACGTTAGTATCTACAACTCTTGTATTTAATATTTTTCTCTAAAGTTCAGATTAAATACAAGAAAGGGGTAGCCAAAGTTCTACCAATAACCCTGTACCTGCGATTGGTTTAGAAGATCCGAATGTTTACATATTAGCTAAAAGCTAAAGGGACAAGATCGTTATCAATATTCGAAAAAGGAAAGTCGATCCATAAACAGTCCTTCGCAACAAGGTGCGAAATTGGCAAGATATCGTCGAAAAATCTACATAAAGCATCCATCCTTCGAAAACCCTTTATTTGCGTATTTTCCTTCAAAATTTACAGTCTTTCCAAATGACCAGAGCAATTAAGAATGGTTTAACTATATCTTATCTAAATCTAACGAAATTCCACATATCAACAAGTTTAAATGCAATATTGGACCACGAAGTGGCCAAACCTATTCCTTAATGGGGTTTGTGGTCTAGACCAATTTGAAGTACCTTTTGTTCGCAATTCGGGTTAGATAATCCCTTATCACAAAGGGTTTACAGGTACCGGCCATATAAAACTTGAAATTGCCCAACAAGCAAATGTTAGTTTGGGGAGCTTTAAGTACGAATTTTTAAATAAGAGAGTGCAGTTGACTGAAGACTTCGATTTTGAAACCCATATTTAATAAGTTGGCAAAAATCAGGCTTTTGAGCGATTTATATGAAATTTCATGCAGATTTAGAATAACGTATTTTCCAACGATGCGGAGAGTTTCATGTTCCTGCGTGCAGCACTTTTGGAGATGCAAATTTTTAAAGAAGCAGGAGACAATCAAACGTTTAGATTTTGCACAAACTGCTCAAAAAAAATGAACTTTGGAACTGGATAAAATCCGAAGGGTGCAACCGATTTCATTTATCTTTGAAGCGTTATTTAGGCCAGATCTTTGTCTGTTAGTTGGTGTTTTTTGCAGAAATTGTGTCCTTAAGATGACTATTCCACAGGGTGGACAATGCAACAATGAAAAATTCTGAAACTTTGACTTCCAACTGAAAAATAAAAATTTTGCTCCTGCAGTCATCAAGGTTGTCCTTTTGGGCCGGTTGTACTGGACCGAAATAGGCGGAAATTTCGAAAACTGTTTCAACAGATGAGGCCCAGTTTAATGCTTTTTCTGTTGAAATGCAGACAAATTTTCTTTTGTAGCCGATCTTTCCCAGATTGTACTTTGTTTGGGTTTCCATCCTGTAGAATTTTTATCTGCTGTGTCGACTTTCTGCAAAAACACCAACTGATCGGAGAAGAATCGGACTAGAAGTCGTGCACTTGCAGATTGAACCAACCAAAGCAGTTGAAAAGTCTGTTAGATGGAAATTGGCGTCATTAGAAACACTTTTCATGTTTAGACTTTCGAATATTTTGCTCTAATCGTCCAAAAAGACACGCTTATAGAAGAAACCGCTTGTGATTCTTATTCGCTTCTTTTGCATCAAACGTATTAACAAAGTGCTGTAGTTTCGTCATTTCTAAGCAGTTTTCAACTCGATGCTTAGCAAATTTGAGCAATTATGAGTAGTTTTCTTAACGAAAGCTCAAAAACTGGGAAACTTAATACGGTTTCTCAACTTTTTAAGCAACTTTCTCGATCACATCCTTTCTAAAGCGTGTTCTTTTCAACTAAGTGGCTTTAGGAAAATGTGGACAACTTCAACTGCAGCCCTTATTACTAATTAGTGCTTTTGCGATAGAATTTCCCAGCAGTTACTTAACAGAATAGAATTATTCTACTTGGTGGATTGGCCGTTAAATGACGCCAACCTTTGGGCTGGCGATGAATTCTGGATTTTATTCACAAAGTTATTAAATAATCATTGTTCAAATTTATACAGCCATTGGCTAATATGAATTTAATTGGGTTTCTTAACGCATTTTCGTGGAATTGAAGTTGATTTTGCCTCCAACTTCCAAGATGTCGGCCCGCAATGTTGCGATTCCACACAGTTGTACTGTCCATGGTACATTTGCCTTCTACCTCATACGGAGTTTCGGGCGTGGTTTTCCGTGCAGAACATGATTTTAAACTGGCCAAAACGAAGGTTTCTGTTTGAATTACGAAATATTTTGCAACCCCAGAAAATGACTAGACTTTGATTGAAAAACATTCCGAAATATTTGGACAAATGAGATTCAGATCATCCATTTAGCGCCATCCGTTTTGCGTTCACCACAGTCAGTACAACTCTTGTCCCTTGGTACGGTAAGCACTGTTGCCAGGTCTATCGTTTTTGCTCGGTTTGCTATCGCTCGATCGCAAGCCAATGCAATTTTACAGCTGAAACTCTACGAATTGCTTCTACATAGTTGATTAAAATGCAAACAAAGCCATTGTTCCTGCAAAAATGTTAACACTATAGCCTCCCTCCAATGCGCGAAAGTGAAGCAGGCACACTTTGGACGTGTTGGTGTCTCTGTCAGATGAAATTCAATTAACAGAGAAAACGCACTTGAAAGAACGCAACATTGATCAAGAGCTGTAGTGGGTTTTCCGTTTCAGCTGAAAAAATTATCATAAGTAGGCTGGTGGTCTTTTTGTGGGTAAATATTCTACTCAAATGCTACTCAAAAGTAATTCTAATTTTATTTTCAATAAATTCGTCATTAAAAAGGCGTCCCTTTTTTTGAAGTTCCCGAAGTTTTGCAGTCCAGAAGGTTACATACATCAAATCACCTACGGTTTTATTTTCAAATGGACGATTTTTACGTGTATTCCGCCCCTTTTCTAGTTCTGGACTTGGCAACGCCGCTCACGCGGCGGCCGGTATAAAAGCGGTTACGCACATGCGGTGCGTCAGATTTTCATAAATCGTCTACTTGCAATTGTTGCTTCAGTTCTTCATTTGCGCCTCCGGTTGAATACCGCCTAATATTCTGAACATTTTGCCAGAATTTTGCCGCCGCGTGTGCTTTTCCATTTTACCACCATATTTTACCGGATATTACAATACCGCCGATATTATTACATGTGGCAAAAGTGCTTGCTTCCAAACTTTTTTAGGTTAACCGATAACTTGGTTTCATACAAACTGTTCGCCTATAGGAAATAACCATTCCCAGTGGTTGTTTTGTGTGCATTTTCAATGGAGTTATTCTCAACGCGTTTGTTCCGGAGTGCTGTAGAATCTTCGCTTAAACGAGAGGAACATAGGATGGATTCAGCCACTGATAAGAAGCTGCTCCTCCGCCCCATAGAATTCGGGCCCAGCGTGACCCTTGATAGATCACATCTGAATAACTTGAAAGAAAAATACATCGTATTCAAATCCCATCTCAAACTGACTCCTTCTGATGGGTAAGTAAACAACTTGGTTCATTGTGTGGGATTTAAGATTGGTTTGGCTGTTTGGGGTATTTGGGAGTAAACTGCTAGATCAGGGAGCACCTAAAAGGCCGATTCATGTTTTATCTGTTATTTATTGTTTTTGAGTCAATGGGCAACAATTGATTGAAGCCCACTTGGTCAGTGTTTCCCAAAATACACCAAGAGAAAGTGTGTATCACATAATTGTTTATAAATTGATGAAAATCATCAGGCTTCAAGGGACTTTTCAATTCCCTATCCAACGATGCCAAAACGAATCCTGTGGCTCAAATGGTTCTTAAGAAACTTCGAATAAAGGCCATTTAGTTATCTCTGGAATGATCTAAAAACAAGCGTATTTTTTCTACATAACCCCCAGCTGGATCCGCCCCTGTATGGAAGGGACATTGCTCTGCAAAACTCATCCAAAATTGAATTTCTCATTTCGCAAGTTGCAGAGAAAATAATGCCAATGTCCGGCCGACCAAAACCAAACGTATTTTGAAAATTGCCTGATTGGAAAAAAGGGAGAAATATGCAAAAGCGGCTCACTTTGCTAATTTTTTTCGTAAATAATTGCGGAACTTTTCCGTAAACAACCGACTTCTTTGGGGTTTAGGAGATCCCATGCAATGCATCATTAACTTGGTCACCCTGTATATATACATTCTCAGTGCCAATTTATTAACATTGTTACATCATGAAGAAGGTGCCTGCAACTTTGCCAAACCGCCCTTTAATTAAACACCGTATAAAAAGTCAAAATGTTTAGATAACTTACATCCGTATCCTGTAACTAATTTTTCTTACAGTAACAACAAGAAGCGGGTTGATCCGTTTGAAACCACAGAGCCCATACAAATAGGAGTCAACAAACCGGTTACAGCCGTAGCCGGTCCAACTACGACTGTTGATACGACTACGACTGAACCAGTAACAGTGGTGAAAGAAGAGCCTCGCGAACTATTCCCAATGGATCAGGTCATCTTGGGATGGAAGAAATTAGCAAATGACTGGTTAACGGGCTGCGGACTGACCAATATGGGAAACTCCTGCTATTTGAACTCAACTCTGCAGGCACTCTTCCATGTGCCATCCATGGTCAATTGGCTCATATTTGATAGAGAAGGTTCATCACTGCACGGTTTACCCGATTGTAAGCATGCAACTAATTCGCTTTGTTTGAATGTGTTTTAACCGTCTTTGACTTTCAGGTGCCTGCCTAATCTGCGCAATGCGAAAGACACTGTTGGACTCTCAATCGCAAATCGTGCATTCTATTAGGCCTCATTTGATCTACAGCAGACTGTCCAAGCTGAGTCGAAGCCTCGTTCCTGGACGACAGGAAGATGCCCACGAATTTCTGCGCTGTTTATTAGAAGGCATGGAAAAGTCCTTCTTGGAACGATTCAAAGATAATGCCACATTTGACTGTAAACTGAAAGAGACGACACCGTTGAATCAAATCTTTGGCGGCTATTTACGCACTTCAGTCCGATGTTTAGGATGTGGCAATGTTAGTACCACTTTCCAACATTTCCAAGACTTGCTGCTAGATATTCGCAAGGCTCAGTCAGTGGACGACGCCATGGACCTGTACTTCACTCGCGAAAAACTGGACGAAGAAAGCTACCATTGTGGAGCCTGCCATAAGAAGGTAATTTTTTTCTTTGCCGGTGTTTTCTTACTTCTGCTGCTGATAGCTTGAACAGGAGATTTGACCCATTTGGTAATTTCAGGTGCAAGCCACTAAGCAATTTCAACTTGAGCGGCCCCCCAACGTCCTGTGCATCCAGCTAAAGAGATTTTCGATGTGCAATAACAAACTGATAAAGCACGTTCGCTTCCAGAAAACCTTGGATATGACCAAATTTGTCAGGCAACCGTAAGTAGTTTTGTTCCCGTTCAACATTAATTTTTTTTAATTCTCAATTTCAAACAGAAGTCATTATTTGTATGGAACAATTTAATTATTCGCTAATTATATTACATTGTCTCATCTTGCATCTCTGTTTGACAGCAGTCTAGTCTTACTTAGCCCTATATCCTTCTCTTTCTAGGCCTTGATTCGAATTGCTCTGTCTCAAAGGCTTGCTCGTATTATTGCTCTGTTTAATACTGTAAATTAATATTTGCGGTTTCTGCTCCCTTGTACTTTACCCAACTGGCCGAGTAAATGAACTTTTTCCTAAAACGCCTGGTAATGCATCTCTTTTTCCAACATCAATAAACTGATATGTTTTGGCTTTATCTTCGCGGATGTAAGCTGAATTATCAGGGTGTATAATTAATTGTACATACTTTCCTGACTGTGTTTCAATTCCATATCAAATCTATTCCTGGGTTTCAGTCATTTATTGTCTCTATTTATTAATCAAAATACGTTTCGGTGTATGTACCGAAACGTATTTTGATTAATAAATAGATTTCATTTGTATAATTAATTATATGCATTTTTAAAAGTTGAAGGAATTGACTCGGTTTGTTCCATCATTGAGTTGATTATCGCGATTTTTTCTCTTCAATTGTTGACTATGACTAACTATTCGCATTTCACCGGGGGTCACATTTCTAACTGGATGTTGCTTTGCAGACTTCGAACTTCATTAAAGTATCGCTTGGTGTCCCTGATAACTCACTTGGGAAGTACTTTGAGCTGCGGCCACTACACTGCTATTGGCCAATCGCCCTCCGGCCACTACTACTGCTTTGATGATCACAACGTGAAGCCGATTTCAATACAAAATGTGCTGGATACCAACCCCTACATCCTGCTCTATGAGTTGGAGGCTCCGCCGCTCATCGAGAAACCGATCCAGCAGACCGTCAAGAGCAAAGCGTCCAGCACGGTCACCGCATCGGCCTCATCCAACACAAAAGTGCCGAATGGTACCGCAATCAGACAGTCCAATGGGCCCAAGAAGTTGACCCAGATGGTGTTCAAATCAGCGCCCAGCATGCCCTTGTTGATGGGCTTCACCAGTGATGAAGTCTATGGGCCAGAGCTGCCTCCTGTAGCCAATGGAAAGCGCAAGCTCACCAGCTCCACATCGTCCGGCCGATCCGATCAATCCAGCTCCGGCGAAGAAGAGGTAAGTGCCAAAGTCGCGTCTATTTGTTTTTTTGAGTGTCAAGCAAACACATCTTTATACATTTGATTTGCCAACATTCCCTAAAGAAAAAATCTGGAGGTGTTAAATCCGGCGATCGTACTGGCCACCTTACGTGCTCTTATCCAACGGATTCTCTCCGCGAAACGTGTATTCGACTCAATTGAAACCCCAAAATTCCCATCTAAAGGCACAATGTAATTTTTGCGATTCTTTGATAGGTGGCTCTTCTTGTATTATGGTCTTGCTTCCACTCCTCTTAACTCTCTTATCGCTGTCACTATTTTCAAAGTTAGTAACCGGATTATTTTGCAGATTGCAAAAAAAGAAGCGGACAGTTCAACCGGTGCAATGGAAATTTCGGGCGATGTTTCGCCCAGTTCTGTCTTGTCCACCAGCGTATCAAGTTTGGACAAAAATGGTACCTCCAAACGTTTGGTTCCATATGAAACTAGCAGTAGTGAAGAGGAACAATACGAGGCAAACAGGTATTGAGTCTCAGTAGGGCCTAAACTGTAAATGATCGCTGGATTGGCTGGGGTCGATCGAAATTTTAATCAGCTGTAACGCTTTTCGTCACACTATAGGACACTAACAACAACACACACACACAAAAATGTTCCAAAGAAACTAAAATTTGTAAATCGTTATTGTAATGTAATGTTATCTAAATCAAAACTGTAAAAAAATCTTGAAAAAAATTAAAAATTTGAATTAATCTGTTGAAAGTTCTGATACAATGATGAATGATAAACATAGACTCATTATGGCTATAAACTGATCAACTGAGTACAGAACTTTTGACAAAAGATTAATTTTAAGAATTCAAAAAATTTAAATTTTTGAAAAACACAAACTTGTGAATAGCAAATTTTTCAAAACAAATTGTTACCAATTATTTCTGATGCACGCAAAAAGTCTATTAATTGTTAGCAAGGTTTTTGTTAATTGACTGACGAACTGGAAAAGCAGTAGAAAAAACTCGAAATAAACTCAAACGAACTCAGACGAACACTCAACTTTACAGTCTTCGTTTCACGCATTGTTTCTGATACACGCGAAACACTTACCTGACAGCCTCAAGTGCTTGGGTTCATGGTAGTTCTGATGTCTGGCTCATACCATACTGAGTGTTCCGTAGTAATGGAACGAAATGCGATTTTGTAGGGTCCATACAAAAGCGACGTTGGTGGGCGAGTGGCAAGTCACTTCTACCACCGACATTCGGCCTCAGAATGGCCAATGGGTGAAGAAGCGATCTGCTGAAAATTCGAAACACAACGTCGTTTCTGAACTGTTCAAAATGTCCACATCTGGGTACTCAGCGCCCGTTTCCACATGGGGGGGCAACAGGTAGGTTTCCCACACTTTCACCTGGTGATTCAGTGACTTACCTGGACTTTATGTTATAACAGGTCGCAATTGGATAAGGAAGTGCAGCAGGAGAGGCGAGAAGATCGCAAACGCAGTGCTGATAGTTCAATTGATCAGGGGCGGGCCAAGCATGCCAAAGTGAGTTCCAGTTTCAACAAGGGAAAAACGAATCCCGGCTACAACCCGATTCAGGTATATATTTTGAAGACTTTTACTGAAATCTCTCCACCACTCAGGCCCAAATTCTGCAGGATTTAACTGATTTTTTTTGGTTTTCCAGGAGTGTCACAACATGAAGAACTGGAGCAACAGCTCGGGATCATCAGGCTACAATCACTATCACCACAACAGCAAGCCGTATTATCACAACAGGCACAAGCGCAACTTCCATCAAGGAAACAGAGGCAGTTTCCACAAGAGTTACCGATACCGGTAATGTGACCGTTTATGTGCATTATGGTTAAAGCTTCAAACGGCTGTACTGTAATGTATCAGCATCAATTCGCTCTCGGATTGAGAGCAAACTGATTTAGGTATAAGCAAAATGTGTAAATAAAAGAAATTGTGACAATGAAGATTTATTGTACTGCAATAAAATCTTGGGCGGACTGGATGAACTGACTGACGATCCCATAAGAGACACACTAGCTAAATATATTGTAAATAGTTATATTATAAGCTTCGCGTTCTGTTTATGAGGTCTTTAAGTTAAAGGTCAACGTGCAAAGCGTTTTGTATTTGACGGTGAGTGTCCTGATTTTTATATATCTGTCCAATTGCATTGACCAAATTTTCTAGTCTTTACACTTTGATTTTGTTCAGAACTCTGGCTGTTTCAAATCGGTTATGACTGATAATTGCTTTCTGTTTTTTTCGCACCACTGTGATACTCTGTATATTGTTTGTGGAAAATAAGACCTATTATTTCTACATATTTACCCAACAATTTGTTCAAGTTCCACACTAATTTACTCAGGGTTTATTTATTGTAAAACACCCAAAAAGTTTCTGTTTTGTACGACACGAATTTACTTCGCCTTGCAAATAATATACAGCGTGTCCCAGCGAAAATTATGTTTCTCCGTCTTCTAAATGTTCCTTTATCATAGTACTCAATTCGAAATGATTATGAAATTGATTTGAAACAGCCTGTAGACAGGGTGGCCCAAACTTGCATGCCATCACAATAGAATATTGTGTCAGGATGGTATGGACGTTGTTTTTATATTTTGCTACTATACGTTTTAGAAGCTGTAAGTTTGTGCCACGCGGTGTATTTTACATGTACGTAATAAAACTGATTTTGTAAAACACCCTGAGTTTTTTGCGCAAATTCCTTCGGTTTTAATATCCTGATTGTTTTTTTTTGCGATGTTTAAAGTCGATGGGATTTAATCGCCACTAGCTTGGTCCAAAGTCCTTTTTTTCTAATATTCCGGCGGCTTTTAGCGCATTGTGAGATCACATTTTATAATAATGGCGAGTGTTTATTCGTATAAAAATTAAGCAAGTTTCTTAACCAGTAAGGAGTAAAATACTATAAATAGGTGCATTGCAATCCTTGAATTTGATAGGCTAAAACTACTCGTGGTTCGACTCAATGTGAACGCCCATTGGTCCCAGCATGGTGCTTGAAGGCCCCGCTTCCCCTAGCTCCGACCTGTAGCTCTTCAGGATGTTCTTCAACGCATTAACGTCTATGTCCACCGCCTTGAAGTTTTCGATATCTTCAAATCCATTGTCCGCACTGTTCCTCTCGAAACTCTGTCCTATAGTGGTGGAGGCCAACTGCTCATCCATCTCCTGCATGTATTTTTGCATTTTGTTTTTAGCCTCGGTTTCGTTCAGATCTGACTCTTTAACAAACTCGTCGGTCTCGTACTCGCTCATGTCGGAATCCGATTCCAAGTTCCAAGACTCGTCTTCGGGAATCACAAAGTTTAAAATGTTCTGTATGGCACTCGCGAATGAATCCGGATCGAAATCGACGCGCTTTTGTTCGCTGATGTTTTGGGAAAATGAGACGGTTTTTTCACTGGCTGTCTTCTTGCGCCTTGGCGGTCTTTCGGGAGTGTCCCCGTTTTTAGCGTCGCCCGACGGAAACTCGGCCCCGTCCACATCGGAAATGTGATTCAAAAAGCTATTGACTTTTTGCGCAAAGTTTGAGGCATCAGAGGATTCGGTGACTTTGAACATTTTCTTCTGTCCATATCGCTCCTGCAGCATCTGGTCCAATTCTTCCGGCGAAATATCCAGCCAACTCTCGTCGTCATCTTTCACAGCATTGTTTTGAGCTTCTTTGCACAGCTCGTCGTAGTCAATCTGCAATAAAAACATGCAAATGAATTCGATCCGGTTAAATTAAACGGGAATTCACCACCGCATCCTTTAGCCAATTATTTTTAATCCCCTAACTGAGGAACATTAACATAATTAACTTACATCGCAACTCCGCAAAAGCTGCAAGACTTCTTGGCCCACATTGGAGCCACTATGCAGACTAGTTCTATGTTCGGTGTAGTAGACTTTGGCTTTATTGAATCGTGTGTTGTACTCCTTCGAACCCTCCAGCAGTCCTTTGAAGTACTCAATTTCATTGAGGCGCTTGAGGAATTGCGCCCAACCGCGGTCACCCTCGACATCGGCGTTGGGTTTGGCTTGCGACGCTAAAATTTCGAAACCGCAGGCGATTTTCACTCCTAACAGATGCTGCTTGTAATCGTTGCTAGTGGCCGGTGGTAGATTCCAGCCGATTTTCCTGTCGGGGATGTATTTGCTGTGCAACAGCATTGCATAAAGGCACCTGCGGGCAAAGATTCGAGATTTTTACACCTTTTTACCAGCAATTCAGCTGGAAACAACTTTTGTGCGGGTTTAGAGTGAAAGTGCAAGATTCAGTTTTCCTGCCAGACGGAGCACTTGAAACTGGGTCGGAAGGGCTTTTGACTAAGAGAAATATGGCCAGAATAGTGGGCACATGAAATCAGTATTGAATAAGCTACGGCAGGAATGAGCAACATGATTGTAAATAGTTCTAGCAAGATGAATCTTCACTATATTGAGGAATTAGCAGGACGAAGACCGTAAAGTCTCTGTTCATTACCTGGTAAATTTGATGCGTGTTTTTACTCGCTGCTCCGGAGGAAAGTACTTCATGGCCCGGCAAGCCCTCATATCAACCGTATCCCTGTTGCAAAACGCCTGAACGGCTGCGCTGATCAGATTAGGTTTTTTCTTCAAAATAGCCGCGACTGCTGTGGGCACAAGCACAGTGGCATGATGGAAATTCTCCCTCATGCTCTCCGGGCTGAACAGCAGCCGGTTTTGAATCGAATTTTGCACATCCGGATGAGACCTAGACTTATGGGGCTCGTTCCAGATCTTCCGCAAGGCTCCTTCTACGGAAATATCGACGCACTCCTTATCATCTACTGGTAGCAGATGAATGTTGCCTTCATAGATATAAACCTGGAAAAAAGCGGGGCATTAGTATGGCCTCAGGAAACACACAGAGAACCTTTCTATCTGGCAATCGATAGCGAGTCGAACATTTTTTTTAAACTGTATTTAACAGGCTCTCTATCGCCTTTAGTCTAGAAGATTTCTTACTCTATTTGTACATGACTCCGGATTGGCCCAGTTCGGTAAAAAGTCAGCCGCCTCTATCAGCAGAAACTCCCCATCTGAATCGAACACTCTGGCAACCACCCCCGGAATTTCCTTAGTGATTTGTTGCAGCAGGAAGACAATGAACCATTCATCCTGGATGTTGTCCCCATAGTGAGACACTCCAAATAAATGAGGTGGCAGGCGTTCTGATCCAAAGAATAAAACAGGTCAGCAGTAAATTGCCAAGTTCTCCCTGGTGGTTCTTCACTCACCCTCTTCCCCATCGACACGTGTGAGGAAATTACTCGACTCAGTCATAGGGACGAATCGTATCTGATCTTTGTGCCACAGATAATTCTGAGCAAACCTTTCAAGCACTCTGTCGGCTTTGGCCAGCACGGCCTCTAACAGTTTCTCCTGCAGCGATTCATCCGACGCCTCAATTCGGGGGAATAAATAGTACTGGACGAAGTCATCCTCTCGGATAGTCTGCAGTGGATCCTGCTGCTTATTCATGATTGAACAGTCTTGAAATCCAGATAAACGTTTAAAGAGTGCAGTGGAATTTCATTCCCTCCCAGCGATTTTCTGAGTGAACTTTTAAGTGAATACTGTTGGTTTTCGTTAAAACTTAAAACAGGAGACAGCTGTCTTCAACATACATAACCTTGTAATTTACAACCATCAACATATATTTAATTTAAATTTATTTAACTGAATCGATGGCAAAGAAATTCTAAATAATCAAAACCGACCCAAACAAACTTCCCACTCTGATATTTTTAACTGTGATATTTTAATCGCAATAGCATAATTTTCGCCCCTCTTAGAACCACCCTGTATATTATACATGGGAAATCGGGCAGTGTTGTGATTTTCGCGAGCTCTGAAATCGTGAAAGAGAAGAGCAAGTTGGAGATTGAACGTGAAGAAACGGCCTTAACCTCACTTCCTTGCAGTCAAATTTAACAACAATGTCACTAATCTAATTTTATCGCGATTTTTCCAAATAATGCCCAAAACATTATCAACCGCACATCAATTTTCATTAAGAAGACGTTCGTTTACGCAACTAGAACATAAATAACAGGCCACCATGGTAGTGGGCTGCAAAAGTCGGCAGTTATTCGAGTCGGGAAAACACTTGACATTTTCCAAGAGGTTTTCCCTGAGACCGTCCACTAGTACGCTGCGGTTCAATAATTATTCGACTGTGGGCTTGAATTCTCTATCTGGTAAAAATAGAGGGGCTGCAGTGAGATGGTGCGACTGCAAACACTTACATTATTCGAAGGAAACGTCCAGATCTGCATTGACCAAACTGTCCCCACAGGAGGTAAGTGCTTTCCATTATAGCCGGCATACGGAAATTTGCTTGTTTTTTCCGACCTTTGCGTTAGAATTTACCAACACTCTCAACTACTTTACTCAACAACTCAATATACTGATGCTGTACGCGCAAAATTCAAAAGTTTACATGCTGTTTACAAACTACGCTGGCGTGCGCAAATTACCAAATACACCAAGGAATTTATGCCGGATATCAGTATTTGTGTATCCAATGGGCGGTGGGCGTATATTTACAAATTCTGTTTAATCTAGACCCTTTTTGTTGTTATGTAACAGAACAGTCAGCGATTGGTTCCAATGCGTCCCCAAAATTCAATAGGTGACAAATCGGGGCATACTGATACCAACCAATGATTTTGCGATGGGATAAGATAACGGTTTAAAATGGGGAAAGCAAAGCGACTTTTGCAATCAGAATTTCGTTGCTTTCGAGATTGGTTCACTTAACTGTTTGCAGTCAAAGTTGCACAAATCTCTTTTTGTCGTCTGTATAAAGCCTCACTAAAAAAACATCTTTCCTGAGTCTCAAATATTTATTACACTTGGCTGTTTAACTGATCAAAACATTTACTTAACAGTTGAAGATTAAGTCTACCTTGAATTTTACGGTTTTAAATCCCAAGTTAGTTTAAATGCAAGGCTATTCCTTCTATAAGCCTAGGTATGTAACGCAAATTTTATAAAAGGCTATACAGGGTGTTGCTGAAAAATATGCGATTCATTAAAGACGTGAAACTACCGTTCACAAATGTTCTGATTGGAAAATGCGGAGCTCATTGAGAAACACGTTTAGACCATTTTTAGCGGCATTTGAGCGGCCACAATCTCAATAGACTCAACACTCTATATGTATGCAAATATAGTGGAGGTCACAAACTGTACATGAAAATTTACGCTGCTTATACAACTAGTGCTTACCAACAAACCCTGTTGTTTAGAGCGCAATTTAAGGAGAAACGATCTCTTTGTTTCAAGTAATTTTCACTGCCCAAATAGTCCATTGCCAGCGTCTTAAAGTCAAAAAAGTCTTGCAAACACCAAACTAAGTTTCGCCTTGTGGCTAGTAGGCGCACCTCAATAACGCTGTTCCGATGTGACAGTAAACGTCAGAAGTTCTCAATTCGGAAAAACGCGATTCCTTCGCGAAAAACGCACTGCCGGACGGGAAAATGCCACAAAACCGTGAAGAAGAAATTGCTCTTTAGAAAAATCAACATTTTTTCGCAGAAGAATTTAAAAAATCTGGAATTTGTGGAAAAATAGAGGAAGCAAAGTGCGAGCTATTTCGCCCATCGGCCATTAAACGTCACACTAATTCGACGAAATGACACGAGAACGAACGACCCTTTGTAGGCCTATAAGTGGACAACCAGGCCAAAAAACACAATTTTTTGCGTCAACTGACCTCACAAAAGGCTATGGGGAAATTAAAGCTGTGAGTACAGTTGTATGAAACTGTTCAATTCAAACTCAAGATCAAGTCGCCAAAAATCATGGTTACGTGCGATTTCAATGAACTTCTCTGGGGTATCAGGTTTAAGTGTCTTCTATTGACTGTGAAAGTTCCAACTCTTTAAATGTTTATCTGATAAAACCCCATGAAACACCAGCTTTGGTTGTGTTTATTGAAACTAACTACATTTAATCAACGTACAACTTAACTAAGAATATCATCGATATAATCGTTGGCTGCTAAAACGGCCGAGCTTACTATACCATCAACTTCGGATGTGACGGCATCAGCGACCATTTGCACAGCTAGTTTGGCTACATTGTTCAGAATTGGAGCCAACAGTTGCCAAACCAAATCCACTAAATCTGTTAAGATGTTCCGGTTGATCAGCGCCACTTGCCCTACATCGACTGCTGCGCTCAGATCACGCCTCTTCCTGCTATCTGAGTCGCTGCTAGATGAGAACAGATCATCGCAAACGGAGCTGGCATATGAGGCGGCTAGACTGTTAGCGTATTCCACCAAACTTTCTCCCAAGTCAACCACGAGATTTACGACTACAACTACAATACTCTCCCAGATGCTACTATCGGTAGTCTCAACAGTAATCGTGCCCAGATAAGTGATACAGCTCTGCAACGTTGAATTCACTTGATCGTAGATGTCTGAGACCACCACGTTACAAGCGGCGATTTCCACTGCACTGATCAACTGGTCCAGCACGCTTTTCGCTTGGATCTCACTCAAACCCCCTCTGGCAAAGCCTCGAGTAGTCAAAGCCTTGGAAAGTTTACTCACTGGCACCTTAGCTGTTTGGATCACTGTGCGCATTTCCGGGCTGAGAGCCAGAATCTTCTTCTGAAGCGCCCCATACAGAATCAGCGATTGATAGTAATCGTCCGGATAGAGCGCTCTTGAAATGGCACTCGCCTTTTGCGACAGCATTTTCTCAAAGGCCAGAGCGTCTAAAGTAACGTATTCGCCCTGGATTACCAGAAGTTGGAAGCCAAGCCCTGCATTGAACTCGTCCAGAACTTCTGATACTTCGGCATTGGATTTTGTGAGCAACAGTTGCGCAACTCTTAAGACCGCCGCCTTGGGGCTATCGATGATCTCATCGAGAACGTGCTGGCGCACCTCTGCACTGCCCAACGATAGAGCAGAGTGTGTTAGAGACTGCAGCTGCTTTTGCAGGTCTGCCGCTTGAGCCAAGTTGTTTTCTTTGGTCAGCTGGATGGCTTGGGCTGTGCAGGCCGCAAGGCTCTGGATTTTGTAAAGGAAATGATGAGCTTTGAGCGATCAAGCAAGTTGCTCTGCGAGCTACTTACCAGCAGAAAGAACAATTTCACACCCATGCCGCAGATTGGAAAGACTGCTCTGGCTCCTTGATGACTATTTTTTATTTAAAATAGGCGAATTATTGTTTGGCTTGGAATTAGTTTGGCCAAAATCTGCGTACAATATTTGTCCATATCATAGCACAATGGTAGCAAAGATTAGTGGCTGACAGTTTCAAGAAACGCACATTTCTCGAACAATCAGACGCAGTTTCCGAGCT